ACATTTGCATAATGGAATACTGTGATGCTGTAAAAAACAAAAAGAGGGTACCCTTAATCTTTGCTACAACATGGATGGACCTAGATATTATTATGCTGGGTAAAATAAGCAGAGAGAGAAAAATACCATACAATTTTACTAATATGTAAAATCTAACAAAATAAACAGACAAATAAAATATAACCAGAGGCATGGATACATGGAACAGACTGACAAATGTCAGCAGTGAAGGGTGTGAAGGTATTAGGTAAAGAACATGTATGCATACACCATGGACACAAACAACATTGTGGTGAGGGGCAAGGGAGGCGGGCATTGCGGGATTGGGTGGGGGGAGGGGGAAAGGGAGGGAAATGGGGTACATCTGCAGTAGTGTCAACAATGAAGAATTTAAATAAAAAGAAAGGATGGACCTTCTTGTGGGTGGTCCTCCCTGTGTCTGCCAGGCAAAGCTTGATTTCCTCTATCCTCCTCCTTCTCCACCCTCATGGATCAGAACCCTATTCTAGCTCTCTCCAGAGGGGGGAAAAAATTGATAGAAATGAGTGACAACCTTGACCAAAGAGAAGAGGTGGGCGACAGGGAACAAATATCAGCGGTGGTGGTGGTGGGAGGTGGGAGTTCCTTGGTGATAGGATAGGACTGGAGAAGGCCGACCATGTAGGAGTTCTGAGTGTGAATGAAGCAGGTGAAACAAGCTGCATAGGACAGACAAGCCATCCATGAATCCCAACTAAGGATTCTCAACCTCTGCACGATTGACACTTAGGGTGGAGAACTTCTTTGTGTGGCTGTCTGTGCACATAGGATGTTTAGCAGCACCCCTGGCCTCTACCAACTAGATGCCAAGAGCATCCCCCAGTCATGACAATGTCTCTAGACATTGCCATACATTCCTTTGGGGACAAAATCACTCCAAGCTGACAAATACTTCTGTAAAGACTTTGAAAGGCAGCTTGGTCCTTAAGAAAGAAATGATTTTACACAGCAATAAGGAACTATACATTTTTTTTCCCCCAGAACCATGCAATCAACCAGCAGGAAGAATTGATTTTGGTAATTAGATTGCTGGTTTACCTTCCAATGTTAAATGTACATCAGGATAGTAACATGATGTATTAACCATGGCTCACTTTATTTTTTTTTTATTTTTTTATAATATATTTTATTGATTTCTTTACAGAGAGGAAGGGAGAGAGATAGAGAGCTAGAAACGTCGATGAGAGAGAAACGTCAACCAGCTGCCTCCTGCACACCCCCTACTGGGGATGTGCCTGCAACCAACGTACATGACTCTGACCGGAATCGAACCTGGGACCTTTCAGTCTGCAGACCGATGCTCTACCACTGAGCCAAACCGGTTTTGGCAACCATGGCTCACTTTAATCAATAGACTATCAGAAATAATAAGGTCTCTTTGTCTTCCAAGGCCTTTTCTGTCAATCAAAAATGATTAGTAGACAATAAACCTGCTCTCAGGAAAGGGGATGAAGCAATGCAGGCCACAGGTTAAGACTCCAAAAGACCCCTTGAAATTGTGTGAGAGTTCGATGTCAGCTAATACCTATTTCTAAATTAGTCTAACTGTTGGATAAAACTAGCCTGTATTTGAGCTAGCCTGTATTTGAGGTGTATTTGAGCTAGCATCGCTTGCCTCTGGCAGGATCCTCAAATTCATTCATGTCAGCTTTGTAGCTCTGTACAGCCACCCCTGGGAGTCTCCTTCCAAATGACCACACTGAAGGAAAAGAGAGGGAAAAGAGAGGAAAGGAGGTGTGAAGTGGGGAGTTTTTCTTGCTCCACTGAGCCCAGTCAGGGACCCAGTGGTGCTGTGTATCTCCCTGGGGAAGCCTTCACCCCAGATTTAGGGAAGTGATATAGTGCTCCGTTGCCCTTATTCCTCTCAGACTGTTCCACACTGGAGTCATCAAGGGGTGAGGTGCCTAAGGCCCTCTCACAACCAGCAACTGTGCAGGATAGGCTCTATGCCTTCCCCCACCCCTGCCTCGTGAACCTTCATTCTGGCCCTGAAACCTCTGTTCCAAGGATGTTAGGTTCCACAAAAGATGAAAAAAATGAACCCCAAGTGGTGGTTCTTCCCAGTGTAAGTTAGGAAAAAACATTAGAGTTTTGGTGGGTTAAGTACTTTATTTAGTATGTCCGCATAGTTTTTTTATTCTTTTCCCCCTTATTATCCATTTTGTCTCAGGGCTATTGCTATTACTTTACTCTTTCAATTCACAAATTACTTGTGACTTGAAAGAGTAAAGGTATGACTTGTGTGGTTTACACATGTCAAAGTTTAGGGCTATATTGGTGGTGGTATTGGGACACTTAATAAATCTCCATCTGGGTGATTCTATGAGATCAAAGTTTGGTCCTGGAGTCACTGAAGGTTTGTATCTCAGCTTCACTTATGAGCAGTGGGACCTTAAGTGAGGACTTCTGTCATGCCTCATCTGTGTAATGGGGATAATAATACCCATTTCTTGGAGGATTAAGTGTGATAGCGTCTGAAAAGCATTTGGCATGGTGCTTGGGACGATTATAAATAAACTAGAAAACCAGTGCACAAAATTCATGCACAGATATGGTCCCTAGGTCTGGCCTGTGATCAGGGCCATCTTCCCCAGCTGCCCACAGCTGGCCCACCCCGCCGCCGCCACCCACCCCGTTTCCCTTTTGCTATCGGTGATTGGAGCCTGGTGGCCAGGAAAAGGACTGAGAGGTTGGCAGTTCCCGCTTGCTTGTCAGCACCCCCTTCCCCCACCCCACTTCCCAGTTTGCCATCGGGCACTCTAAGCCTGACTGAGAGGTGGTCAGTGTGCCTCATAGTGACTGGTCGAGCGGTCATTCTGCCATTAGGATCAATTTGCATATTACCCTTTTGCAATATAGGATAGAGACCTGGTGCATGGATGGGGGTCCCCACTGGTGTATGGGGCTGGCTGGGGTGAGGGGCCATGGTCTTTCTGGTCTTGGGTCATTTTGCCATTTAGTCACTGGGCTTTTATTATATAGGACATACAAAGCAGAAGTGTCAAAAGAACACAGTAACATATCATTTGAAGGGTTGGTATACTTTTCAGCCCCAAGTGTTGCCAGTAGGATTTCATGAGTCACTGGAGATCACTGGCAAACCTAAGCAGAATGATTAAGTGGGCAGAGACTGAAATTTTGTCTGGCTGAAGTTGGACTGTGAGGTTGAGGCACCAAATCTGTTATCCAATCCTGCTCTAGGTGTTTGTTGTGGACCATCTATATGACAGACACATGGAGGTTGCTGTAGGGGTAAAGTCCCTATTCTCAGAAATATTATTTTCTAGAGAAGATAGATGAAAAACAAGTGCAAGGGTAAGTAAATAAATACTTGAGAGGTCTATGATGAAAATGAACAATAGATAAAGTGATAGAGGATGAGTGGATTAGAACCTAGTTTAGACAAGGTGATCAGAAAGACTGAGGAGGTGGCATTTCAGCTGGATAAAGCTGACAGTGCAGATGGGCAGAGCATTTAATGTGGTGAGAAACCCCAGTGAAAATGCTCTGAGGCTAGAGGAGTAAAGTAGATATTGGCTACTAACAGTTGCTTCAACCTGCCGGTAGTGAGTACTGAGGAGCCCTTGGGGGGAGGGGGGGGATATGCAGAAATGGTCATAAATTTGACTCAGGTAGCCGAAGCCGGTTTGGCTCAATGGATAGAGCGTCAGTCTGCTGAAAGGTTCCGGGTTCGATTCCAGTCAAGGGCATGTACCTTGGTGTGGGCACATCCCCAGTAAGGGGTGTGCAAGAGGCAGCTGATCGATGATTCTCTCTCAACGATGTTTCTTACTCTCTATCCCTCTCTCTTCCTTTCTGTAAAAAATCAATAAAATATATTAAATAAATAAAAATTAAAAAAAATTGACTCAGGTAGTCTTCAAAGGTGCAGAGACCAACAATAGTGGGAGTCTCAAATATTTTGTTTTGCATCTTAACCAGAACTTGGTGCTAATTTCCAAATTCTGTCTAAAACTGAGGATTTAAATATCACCTCAAATAACTTTTCCTTCTCAGACTAAATGGAGAGGTCCAGGGACTGACCACCTCAGTGGACACAGCAAAGAGAATCTTTGATGAGGGTGATTATATCGGCCCATACCGGAGCTTTGCACACAGAAGAGGGAGAAGGCCCAGAGAGTTTCAAGATGACTTCGTGGGCAGACAGGGAATTCCACCAACATGGGTGAGAAGCACAAAGGCAGTGAGCTTTGTAAGGACCTCCCAAGTAGTAGGTGTGGCTGGGATTATTAGCATTAACTTCCTTGCCTGTAACGGGGACAATAAAAATTTCCTGTCCTTACTATTCCCTACAGGAGGACACCTTACAGAGAGAAGAGAAAGCTTTTAAGTTCAGTGAAAGTCCTTGTATGTAAGAACTACAGGGTCTCTGCAGGGTACACTCGGTGCAGGACAAGGCTCCATCCGGAGGAAGCAGGCCATCCAGGACCGCAGAGTGCAGGACAATGTTTAGGGCAAGGAGACCTAAACTTGTTATTCTTGGGCCTCCGCAAGTCTAGGGAGATTCAAAGGGCGCGGGGTTCCCGTGCGCGTTTCTCTTGGGACTGAGGCTAGAGAAGTCACTTCCAAGCGGATGTCTCCATAAGAGCGTCTCCCTGCCCTAAGGTCTCGTCCACAGCCGCACTGTCACTGCTGGGAAGAACAACAGATCAGGTGGAACACCCCCTCCTCAGAAACACAAGAGGACAGAAAAACCCCTAAGACTCGCGAAACCGAGATTATTCCCGCCACACTGGCCAAACCGGTAGCCGGGATTTGCGTGCCCTTGGAGGAGCATTGTGGGACTGGTAGTCCAGGCTGAGGCGCGGCTCAGGACTTCGAAAGCCACAGAACTACATTTCCCAGGATGCTCCGTGAGGGCGCCGTACGTGCGCGTGACGACTAGACTTCCGGAAGAACCTGGGGCGGGACCGTGGCTGTGGCTGGAGCTAGGCTTCGGGATGCAGCGCCCTGGGCCCTTCAGCACCCTCTACGGGCGGGTCCTGGCCCCGCTGCCAGGACGGGCCGGGGGCGCGGCCTCTGGAGGAGGCGGGAACAGGTGGGGTGCCCCGGGCTCCCTCGTGCACCCGCCGGTGTGCGCTCATTCCGGTACCGGCGGCGCGGGCCAGACAAGCCCCAACGTCAAGGAAGCCAGCAGTGCCTTCCCAGCCCCCTCCACGATGTCCAAGGCCGAGGAGGCCAAGAAGCTTGCGGGCCACGCGGCAGTGGAGAATCACGTGAGGGTGAGCAGTCCGGGCTGCGGGTTGGGCTCCGGGTGGGCTCCGCTGGGACGCTCTGTTCCTGGAAGGGCGTGGGCTGCCTGAGCAGGGAGAGGGCGCGCCTTGCCCGGGTTATTTCCCTGCTCCTCAACGGCCGTTTTGATGTGGGGTCTGCGGGGGGCGAGCTTCCCAAAGACCCTTTTTGTGGCCCGACAACAGGTTTGCAAAGCGGAGCCAGCCCGGGTGGTGTCATGTTGAGTGGGGCTGGAAGAGACTTGCCCTCTGGTTTCCTTACCAACAAAGGGAAACTGATGAGTTCCGGACTGCGGACAGGCTTCTCTTCACATTCCTGGAAAGCTGGTGGAGAACTGGCTTCAAAATTGCCTTGGCACTTGACTCCAAGTAGGCTTTAGCTTGGCGCGCCCGCTCCCAAGCGTACTCGCCAGGCGGGATGGGGGGACAGAGTGTGAGGGGAAGACCTGAGCGCTGAACGCCCCTTCGACGGGGCGGGGTGGACACTGCAAGCCTGGAGGATGCTGTTCCGAGATGTTAAACTGTTAGTGGTGAGGTCCTGGCCCCACTTGTTTGTTAAGCTGGTGTGATTCTTGCTGTTAGTGGAGTCTTTTAACCCGAGTGAATTTGTTGTTGCTTACCAAGTTAATTATCTTAATTAAAATATTTGGGTAGCCAGGTGGAGTATCTTTTTCCTTAGGTGGAATTTCTTAGACTTTACTGGCTTTTTGTCTTTTCTACTTAAAAAATGGTATTATCTTCTAATGCTAGTGCTTGAAAATACATTAACTTACAAAGTTATTTTGCACATAGATGATGTTTGATCCCCACACAGCCTAAGTGGGGGGAGACGGGGGCAGTGCAGTAAGCTGGCTCAGCATATTCTGTAGAAGGGATGGCCAAGGATCATCCAAAACCTAGTGAGTCCTGTGAGGTAATACCCTTCCACTAGGTCCTCGCCGCCCTGCCCTGGAGTCACTTGTTACAAGTCTGGTTAGCAATAGGGTTTTCCATGGTAATTCACAGAGTTAATGTAAAATGTGTATTTTGGCTCTACTTTTGGGATTCAGTGCCTCAGCTGCAAAATTGGGACAATAAGCTGAGATTTCAAAATGCCTGGATAAAGTGAATAGCTAATGGACAGGTAAATAAAAAGAAATCAATACACTTAGAAAAGCCCCGTATCTTAGTTTTCCTGTTAACCTGTTTGCATTAATATTTGGTGGTGCATGTCTTTCTGACCTTTGTTTATAATTATGTATTTGCTTAAATAAAATTTGTAAGTCCTCACCTCAGGCTAAAGCCCCCAAACACTGGATTCCAGCTATATTATTCCAAAAGTTGCCAGGTAATTCTGTGGAGATCTCCACTGCCTTTGGGGGGCACCTCACCCAATGCCAGTGGCACCCACTTTCCTACCAGCATTCTTTCCTGAGATTCCAACACTACTTGAATTTTGTATTTTCTGCTGTTTAATGGTGGTTTATTCTTTCCTTTGTTTACCAGGTATTTATTGAGTGTCCAGCAGTGTCAGTTGGTATGGTTATCAGAAGTGTGGTTAGAGCGGGAAGGAGAAGAGTCTGGTCCCGGATCCTTTGCAAGTGGGATACTAATTCAAATAACATTTACTGAGCATATCCATGTACTTAATTGTCATGTACTTGATTGCTCTCTCCCGTGAGTATCTTTTACTCCATCTAAGGCCATCTTCTCCTCTATTTTGTGACTTGGATTCCTTTACTAACTGTGTAAGATTATCAGGGTAGATTATATGCTAAATTCTATTGGTTCCACTTTTGGGTTGTTCTTAGAGCTGACCTTTTCCCTTGATCTACCAGCCCCATTTAGACTTTCCCCAGGGCCAGATGATAGTGGTTGCCTTTATCTTCTCCCCTCTATCAGCTTCCCAGCATTATCCTCTGAAGCTTTCTTCTGCTCTTGTCACAGTGGTCCTTGTGGGGCTTCTTCCTGACCTGTAACACACTGGAGAGAATCTATTGTAAGCTTAAGTACTCAGCTTGGTGGGGAGGATCCATAGACAAAAGGATTATCAGGTTAGGGAATTGCCTTGAGTTACCACTATAGTACCACTTAGGGAACTAGGTGCTTAGAGTCTGCCCAAGGTCCTTCTGCCTTCTGTGTTCCTTGGTGTATTCTCATGACAGTATAGGCAAGGGATGGCTTCTAGCATTCTGCCTTTATGTTAAAATCATGTACGTCCTTCAGGATTTGCTGCAAATGCCATTTCTTCCTTTCAGTTTTTCCTTCGCCTCATAAGGGGGGAGTGCATATTGTCTTTGATTTTGTAGCACTTTATATCTCATAAGTGTCTTATGTTCTGGTCATCTCTGTGTTTGTGTCTCCCAGTCCCAAAAAGGTTACATTTCTTATCTTCATGCACTGTTGGTATAGTGGGGCCTACCTAGTTAATGTTCAATGAATCTTGTGAAGTGTGAACATAAATATGGAGGTTGTGGAATTGTTGGTGGGTTGAATCTGGGGGTGTAGATCCAATTCGTAGTCCACTGGTGTTCTATTGATGTTCCATGTGGTAACCATCTCCACATCTGGATGGATGGAGAACTTGGAGATAGCCACCCTGAGCTCAGATCTGCCAGTTTATGGGATTATAGCTACCCTTGATGGGAAGTCACCCAAGCTTGGAATGGAAAATTCTGCAAACTGGCCTTTTTCAAAAAGATCCCTGGTTTGTCCCCAGCTTATAAAAATAACCAAGCAAAGCCAGCCCCTGAGCCTGTTCAGAGGACCATCCTTTCCTCTGTGCTGCCTCCTTTGAGCTCGAGCATAAGCTTGATAAAATCTATCTGGACATGTCTGTGGGGTATTCTCTCCATTTCTTGTGAAGAAACCAAGAACCACAAGGAGGGGTCGCCACTGATTGATTGGTTGGTGCCAGGGTAGGGGGTCATCATTCAATGCTGCTGGTCCTGAAGTCAGCTGTAGCGTCCCTTGTTTGGTTTTGCTGCTTTCCTGGGCGTGGACCTGAAATACAATTGAGCCATTTTGCCTTAGACTGGCAGATTGCTCCCAGGAAATTGCTGAGGAATTGAGCTCCATATTAGTTCCTGAGTGTTTGTGCCCTGACCTAGTGCTGTTTGTGGTTTAACTGTCCTCTGCTGGGCCCCAGCTCTGGCCCTGCTCCTAGGCACCTTCCCCTTTGTTAAGGAGGAAGGCTCAGAAGTGAGATAGCTGTTTCTTGTCCTTTGCACTCAGGAAGTGTTCTGTATCTTTACAAGGCCTTCCTATTGCAGATGAAAACTTTTTCTCATGTTCCTAATTAACCCTGCCATCTTTGTAGATTCTCTGAGTCAGGCTTGCATCACCTGGACAGAAACTGATACAATTTGCTGTTTTGAGATTACTTCAGACTCTTTCCTCTTCTGTCAATTCTGGGGATCTCTAGATTGTGGGCTGGATATGTCCCTCTGGTTCCTTGTGATGCTACCAAAGTGAGTATCTGGTCAATCCCCTGCCTTCTAAATCTTAAGCTCTTCTGAAAAGGCACTGAAGCCAGAAACCTTGACTTATTAGTGCGTAGAGCTTTTCCTTTCTGATCATCTGGCCTAGGGGTTGGTCAGGGATATTTCAGTGCTCATCTGCTGGCCACTATTAGGACAACTTCAGTTATTATATGTGGAAAGTGAGCCAAGCTTTTTGTCTGACTGGATGTAGGGAGGGTTAACAGGCCCAAAATGGAGTCACAAATGCTAAGCCCCACGTCACCAAACCAAGACTTAATGACAGTTTTGGCTCTCCCAGAAATGGAATCATAATCCAGTCAGACAGCTGGACAGATACTCCAATCCCTTAGAGGGAAGTCTGTGAAAGTCTTCTGAGAGGGAAGTGTGTGAAAGTCTTTCATTTTGGACAGTCCTGGAGCCTCCTCTCTATCTGCTAGATTGGCTGCTGCCCAATTTGAGCCAGATTTTGCTCAAATCAACTCTTGACATTTGTAAACTTGCCCAGTGTGTCTTTCATCAGGAGGAGATGGTGATGTCAGTGTCAGATGAAAGGAGAAGGGCTCGGCTGATGAACTGCCCCCGGGCACTGTAATAAAGACCGGGTTGATGTTCCTGGAGAGGGAATAAAAGATGGTATTAATAAGTTTTGTTTTTTTCCTCCTTTTTTTTTTTTTGTCAGAATAACCAAGTGCTGGGAATTGGAAGTGGTTCTACAATTGTCCATGCTGTGCAGCGAATAGGTATGACCTTGGGCTGTTTCCTGTATGTTTTGTCAGTAATGGACACTATGGGTGGTAGAAGCTGGGAGCAGGATTGGGGCATAGAAAATACCTGCTGGGTATGGCTCCAGCATTGGAGCTGCTTGTCTGTCAGCTTATGTGTTCCTGCTTTTCCCTGAGAGAGATTCTTGGGTCTCTTCAGCCATCTCTGGGGGTTGCCCCAGCTTACCCAGCTGGAGGGGAGGAACATACTTAGAGTGAGATCTCAAAAGAATTTTATCCTCATTAATGTGTGTGTGTGTGCGCGCACACGCTTGGTCTCAGGGACCCTGAGCTGAGGCAAGCTTTCTGACCCTCAGACAATCTCAGGCAAACAAATCAAGGTCAGTGCAGGCTTGACCTGAAGTGAATTTGAGGTCCCTGCAGTTGCTACCTGATTCCCGCTGGTGCTGGCTTTTCTGATTAGGGTGTCTCTGTGCTTAGGAAGGCGGCAGGAATTCCCAACCCCTGTGGCTGCTCCACAGGCTATACTGCCTGCTTTTGTTTGTAAGAACAAAGCCCAGAGGAAGGGCTTGCTAGAGTGCTGGCCTCTTCTAGTTACAGGGCAAAGTGCTCAGGAGACAAAGTCCAGCACCACCCAGTCTTTAAGGAGTGGCCGTGGTGCCGGTGTGTTGGCTTCTGGAAGCGCCTCATGGGCCGAACAGGGGCCTTAGCACTGAGTGAGTGGAGGATTTTAAGTTCAAGAATTAGCTGTGGGTTTTGGAATAGTGACATCTCAACCTCACAAGATGCAACCCAGTGATGAAAAAAAACGTAAGCTTTAACAAGTTAGTGTTTTTCTTTTTCTTTTTTTTTTTTTTATAATATATTTTATTGACTTTTTACAGACAGGAAGGGAGAGAGAGAGCTAGAAACGTCGATGAGAGAGAATCATCGACCAGCTGCCTCTTGTACACCCACTACCATGGATGTGCCCGCAACCAATGTACATGCCCTTGACCGGAATCGAACCCGGGACCTTTCAGTCCACAGACTGACGCTCTACCGCTGAGCCAAACCGGTTTCGGCAGCAGTGTTTTTCTTAAAAAATCAAGTTTTCCTGAAAGGTAGAAACCCCAAATGCATGAATAAACCCACTCTAACAACCCTCTGGAGCTACAAATTATTATATATTTTTTGTATTAAATGTAAAAGGCAGTATAGGGAAGATTTTAACTGAAGCTAGACCACCAGGGGTCATATTCCAGTTCTGCCCCTTGTTAGCTGTGTAACTACCCAGATACTCTACCTCTCTGCTTCAGTTTCCTCTTCTGTAAAATGGAGGTAATAATTGTACCTTTTCCTTTGGGTTATAACTGACCTTCATGGACAATTGTCCATGCTGTGCAGCGAATAGGTATGACCTTGGGCTGTTTCCTGTATGTTTTGTCAGTAATGGACACTATGGGTGGTAGAAGCTGGGAGCAGGATTGGGGCATAGAAAATACCTGCTGGGTATGGCTCCAGCATTGGAGCTGCTTGTCTGTCAGCTTATGTGTTCCTGCTTTTCCCTGAGAGAGATTCTTGGGTCTCTTCAGCCATCCTGACCTTCAGGATTAAAAGAGTTCACAGGTACAGGCACATAATAGCAGACACTGGCATTGCTCTTCCATACTTAGTACTTACTACTGCCTTAGGCTTTCTACTGTCCCGTCTTGTGATGTGTGAGGTATGTTCACCAACTTTGTCAAAAAGGGGGGCATGGTATGAAAGGCAGACTTTCCTTTTCTGTTGGATTTGAGCAAACGTGTCCAAGACAAGAAAAGTGAAGTGAGAGAGTGAAGACCCACCGCCATGATTTCTCTCTCCACAGCTGAACGAGTGAAGCAGGAGAACCTGAACCTCGTCTGTGTTCCCACGTCCTTCCAGGTGGGCCTGTTTTCCATTCTGCTGAACCTTCCGGGTCCCTGAGCACAGGGAGGTGTGCCTGTGGGGTGTGCACCAGGTTGTTCCCCGTGACAGGGCCAGGAGCAGGAGAGTGTATTTACTGAAATCATGTGTCTGGTTATGTAGCTTGCTCTCTACCAAGCCATGTGTGATGTGTGAGGAATGTTCATTAACTTTGTCAAAAAGGTGGGGACATGGTATGAAAGGCAGACAAATGCCCTCCCTCCCCAGAGTTTTTCATCCATTGGTTATGCTTATATGCATGCATACAAGATTTCTTATCTCCCCCATATCTTCCTGCCCTCCCTGCTGTAATTTGTGTTTATAGTCTTGAGTTCTGGAACTAGGATTTCTCCAGTACTACTTTGGAGAAATCTAGGTACTTGGAAATAATTAAGGAATGTCATTTTTATTATTGTTTTCTCCTGTCAATATATGTTTCTCTTTAATTCGAATAAAATCACCCTATCTGGTTTGGTTGGATAGTGCGTCAGCCTGCAAACTGAAGGGTCTTGGTTTGGATTCCAGGCAAGGGCACATGCCTGGGTTTCGGGCTCTATCCTCAGTGAGGGATGTGCAGGCAGCAGCCGATCAATTATTTTCTCTCATCATTGATGTTTCCATCTCTCTCTCTCTCTCCTTTTTTCTCTCTGAAATCAATAAGAATATATTTTTAAAAATTTATCTTGTTTTTTTAAACTTTTTTTTTTTCAGTCAGCATTTTATTTTTGCCTTTTTTTTCAGTCAGCATTTTATTTTTGCCTTTTATTATGGAAAACTTCAAACTTCAGGAAGGCTAAAGAACAATATAATGAATTTCCATATACCCATTACCCAGTTTGAACAATTATCAGTTCATGACCAATTTATTTTCATCTGTACTCCATTCTCCTCAACCTTGATTATTTTGAAACATCTCAGTCATAGTGTCAATTCATTGTATATATTTCATTATGTCTGTCTGAAAACTAGGGAGACTTATAAACATCTCAACAATACTTTAAAAATGTAACAGTAATCTTTAATAGCATCAAATATAAATCCAGCTTTCAAAATTCCCCCCTTGTCTTATCTTTATCAATATTTTTTTTACAGTTTGAACCAGGATCCAAATAAAATCCACATATTGCAAATTCCAGGGTCTTTGTATTTTATTCTTAAATTTTGGATGTGAAGATTTATGTTGGTCATTTCATGCATTCCCATCTTTTTATAGATGAGAAAGTTTGCCAGGGGTTACATAGTTGGTTTATTTAAGATTAAAACCTAGACCTGATTCTTAATCTCAGGTGCTTTTCACTTTAAGCAGAAAATATTTCAAGGCATGCCTTTGAAAGGAACTTTCCGTCCTTTGGTTTGTTTGCAGGTTGTGAGAAATGACGTGAATGTGAGTCCTCCTAGACTTGGGTGGTCGATGTTCACATGGAGTTATTCCATCTGTGAGTCCCGCACAGGGCCGTGTGGTCGCGGCCACTCTCTGTCAGCCTCTTAAAGGCTAACCACAGGCATGTCTAAAAAGTCAGTGGGGCTGATTTTCCCCACAAACATCCTGTCTCTCTCAGGCTGGCCTCTCAATTTGCCTAGCCACTTAGCAATTCCAGAAGTCCTTCCTTTATGTACTCTTCCGAGAATATGTTCTTTGCTTATTTTTACTCAATAGTATAGCTTGGAAATAATCCATATCAATTTTTAGTCACCTTCAGTCTTTTTTCCACATTGTTCGATTTTTGTTTTTCATTTTTATTTTACTGTGTTTCCCCGAAAATAAGACATCCTCCGAAAATAAGACCTACTTACAGGTTTCCTTCTGAGTGAAATGTAAGGCATCCCCCCGAAAATAAGGCTCCCCCTAGGCTAAACATGAGAGATTTGGTCCACTGATTCTGAAAGAAATGGAGTCACAAGAAATTCACCAGGAAGTTCAGGAATTGGATTGTTATGATGATATTCCAGAAGATGATGACATGATTGTCATTGAATAAATGAGTAAATTCTTGATACTGTAGGATTCACAGTTTGTCTGGTTTGTGTTGACAACTACCATACTACCGTACCGTATACAGGTAATAAATTTCCTTTATTTCCATTTAACAATAAATGTGTACCATATTCTTCTTCATGGAAAAATAAGACATCTCCTTAAAATAAGGCCTAGCGCATCTTTGGGAGCAAAAATTAATATAAGACACTGTCTTATTTTCGGGGAAACGGTATTTATTTATTTTTAAACATATTTTTATTAATTTTAGAGATGAAGAAAGAGTGAGAGATAGAGAAACACCAATGATGAGAATTACTTATCAGTTGCCTTCTGCATGCCCACTACTGGGGAATGAGACAGCAACCTAGTGATGTGTCCTGACTGGGAATCGAACCCTGACCTCCTGGTTCATAGGTTGATGCTCAACCACTGAGCCACACCACTGTTAAGAATTTAAAACATTTTTCCTAATATTTTAATAGATTTGGTTCTTATTTTAGAAAGTTTTTAAAAAATACTCCATTGCTTTAAGAGGCATTGTCTTAAATAGGTCACTGAGAAAGCTGTGAGTTGGCACTGGATAGAAGCTCAGGGCTGGGTTGCTGCCTTGTAGCTCTAGGATGAAGTAGCTTAGCTTTGCATTTCATAGGTCTAGATCTCCTGTCTCCTGGTTAGCCAGGTTTGGATTTGATTTGGGAGAGTGCGTTGGTCAGGACTCAGTATTTGACACTGAAATCCAACAGAATTTTGCAAATCCTTGCCATGTGCTCTAAGTAAATGATTATGGGTGCTTTTTCCTGTTCTCTTTAGGCTCGTCAGCTGATCCTACAGTATGGCTTAACACTCAGTGACCTGGACCGACACCCAGAGGTAAGAGACATCTATCTTGCTGCTCCTTTTTTGTGGCTGTCGCTTGTCCATGGGTCAGGGTATCTGCTGCGGGTAGGAGAGAGGTCAGTTCATCATATCAGCTTTTCTTTGGAGACCTTGAGTATTAATCTTGGCTAAGGTAACAAGCAGAGCGGTGTTTGTTTTCCAGTACCTTCTCTTTGGTTTAACTGAGAGCTCAATTTGAGTGTCATGAAGAAGGTTAAATGAGCCCTGATTGCACCCAGGGCTGCTTCCTTCAGTCCTTGGACAAATGTATGATAGTGAGCCCACAGGGCTTACCACCTTATGGAGAAGAGAAGTGATCGTCTGAGGTGCCACGCTCATATGGAAATGGGTTACAGTGTGTTTATGATCAAGATGATTACACACCTGGTCATCAGGAGGCTGAAGTTGAGAAAGTGAGTAGCATGCTCATAGTTAGCAGTTACTGAGCCCTTACTGAATACCAGATACTTTGCTTAGTGCTGTACCATGCTAAGTTATTTAAACTCCAGTAGTCTTGATGGTGGGTACCATTATGTACCCACCTTTTCCAAGGCTATGAAAAAGGCACAGAGAGGGCAAGCTGCTTGCCCAAGGCCATGCTTTTTGTAAGTAGCGGAGCCTCAGTTTGAATCAGGTGCCTCCAGCTCTAGAGTGATGTTACTTAGAAGGGCTTTGTGGGAAGAGGTAAAGGTGAGTGGAGCTGTGAAGATTAAGTGACAAGAGCCAGAGAGAACATTCTGAAGAGGCACTGCAGGAGCCATTCTGGGCAGGCACATGGGTGTATGTGGACAGTGCCCAGGCTGGCTGAGTGATTAGGACCGAGAGATGGAATGCACTGATGTAGTGGGGGAAGGGAGAGAGGACAAGGCTGCGTTGGTGGAGCCAGGCAGGGTTATGACAGTCCAAAACCAGGCTGGTGGTTGAGCTTGGTGGTGGTCTAGTTGTCAAGCATATGGGCTTCAGAGGGCTTAGTAAGAACCACAGAAAGGCTCATTTGGAGAAATCTGTGGGCAGAGCCGGCACAGGTGGAATTAGCTGTTGAATACTGTTAGAAGAGTAGGCTAGCCTGAATCGTGCCTGCCAGCCCAACAGGAAGGGCTGCCACCTTTCAGGCCCTGGAGAGTCAGTTGCCCAGGCAAAGCCCAGCCCAGGGACTAGAGGGCCAGGGAGGAGCAACACAGGCCATGACTTTAGAATAAAGGGCACATTGATAATAGATGGCAGCAAGGGTGTACGCCTGAAACTTTGTGGGCCTTCCTTCCTCCCGTGCCCCAGCAGCTGCACCAAGCACCTTTCAACTATAGCTTGAACTGAAACTGCACCCTGAGGTTTCCTATTGCTATTTAAAAAAACCGAACTCTCACATTGTCCATGCAGAGTACCAGGAGTGATGGGAAATACAAATATACCAGAGGCCCGGTGCACAAAATTCATGCACAGGGAGCAGGGGGTGTCCCTCAGCCCAGCCTGCACCCTCTCCAATCTGAGACCCCTTGAGGGATGTCCGACTGCCTGTTTAGTTCAGATCCCGGTAGTCAGACATCCCTCTCACAATCCAGGACTACTGGCTCCCAACTGCTCGCTTGCCTGGCTTCCTGATTGCCCCTAACTGCCTCTGCCTGCCAGCCTGATCACCCTCTAACCACTCCCCTGCCAGCCTGATTGATGTCTAACTATTCCCCTGCAGACCTGGTCACTCCTAACTGCCCTCCCCTGCAGGCCTGGTCCCCTCCAACTGCTCTCCCTTGCAGGCCTGGGTCTCCCCCCCACTCCCCCCAATTGCCCTTTCCTGAAGGCTTGGTCGCCTCCAACTTCCCTCCTCTGCTGGCCTGTCACCCCTAACTGCCTTCCCCTACAGGCTTGATTGCCCCCAACTACCCTTCCTTGCAAGCCTGGTCCCTCCCAAAGACCCTCCCCTGCTGGCCATCTTGTGGTAGCCATCTTGTGTGTTGGAGTGATGGTCAATCTGCATATTACTCTTTTATTAGATAGGATAGAGGCCTGGTGCATGGCCAGCTGGTTTGCCCTGAAGGGTGTCCTGGATCAGGGTGGGGGTCCCCTTGGAGTGTGGGGTGGCCTGGGTGAGGGACCTGAGTGGTTTGCAGGCCGGCCATGCCCCCTGGCGACCCAAGTGGAGGCCCTGGTATCTGAGATTTATTTATCTTCTATAATTGAAACTTTGTAGCCTTGAGTGGAGTTAAGCTTCCTGCTATATCTGTGGCCGCACCAGCTGGCCATGCACCTCCTTAAGTGGAGGCCAAGGCAGGCCAGGGCAGGTGGAAAGCTTGGCTTCCTCCATCTCTGGGGGGCAACTCAAGCCTTCTGCTCTTTCCAGCTCTGTGGATGCCGCCATTTTTGTTGGAGTTTATTTATCTTCTATCATTGAGACTTTGTAGCATTGAGTGGAGGCCTGGGCCAGCAAGGGCAGATGGAAAGCTTGGCATCCTCCATTGCCAGGGAAACCCAAGCCTCCCTCCTGCTCTCTGTGGCTGCAGCCATCTTGGTTGGGTTTTTTGCATAGTTGCTCCTGATTGGCTGTGGAGCTTTCTAATGAAAGAGTGGGTAAGCCCAGAAAGGCACTTTGGCAGGACCATAAGGTACCTCTGATAATTTCCAATTCTGGTTCACAGCAACTGTGTGTCAGCTTTATAACTCTTTATGGGTCTTCTTTGTCCACTCGAAATGGCCGTGTTTGCCACACTAGTATGGAGACTTCTGGGTCAGTATTTCTCAGCCTCTTTTTTTATGATCTCCCTTCCTTCATGACATTTCAATACCACAGATACAGTGTGTTTATGGTCAAGATGATTACACACCTGGTATATATGTTTCTATACTTGGGGGTGATGTCACCCATATTGAAGTTGCATGATCCCCGTAATTCCAATTTGTCCACAGAGAAGCCTTTCAATGAGAAAAGGGAATGTGTAAGAGTTGGGTCCAGGGGTGGTTTCCAGGCCCCATGCTTGTTTCTCGGTGACTCTAGGAGAACAGTTTAGCCTCTCAGAGCTTTAGGGTCTTGATTGGTTAAAAGCAGATAACTGTATCTAGCTAGTTGGGAAGGCTGCTGAGGCCTGATAAAGCTATTGCATGCTCAACCTTGGTACAAAACTTTCCCTTCAAAGACATAGTGGCTGTTCTATCTTCCCTTCTCCCAATACAGATCGACCTTGCCATTGATGGTGCTGATGAAGTAGATGCTGATCTCAATCTCATCAAGGGTGGTGGGTGAGTATTGTGGTGACTTTCTTGCTAAGGAGTATCTGTCAGTTAATTCTTAGCAAAGCAAAATGGATTGCAGAAGAAGCAAATTGCCACTGTGATATACCTGAGTTTGTCTTTCTACTAGGATGCCAAGAGCTATGGCTGGAGAACTGAATTAGTATTTCTGGTCATTAGTTGCAGAATTTGGTGACTAGGAACCTGGGCCAATTCAATGAGATTATTCATCCTAATAGGTTCTCCGTGTCCACATTCTTCTGTGATTTCAAGCTTTAAAATTATGCAAGCTAAACAAACATGTTACTGGGGCTAGATTACTATATCTGTGGGCATCAGTGTGTGATCTTTGCTTTAAAGCTGCTCTTACCTCTGAGTACTTAGTGATGGGTGTATTCATTCATTTAGAAAACATCAGGTGTTTCTTAAGTGGTGATTTGGGGTTTAGGGAAGGGTGAGTTGCAGAATTTCCTGTTCTGCTGGTTCTTATAACCAAGTAGACTGAAATGACACAAAATTTATTTAAAAGCTCATTGTGCTCTCATTGCTTCATCACCCTGACTGCCAAATAGCCTATAAGCCAGATTGTTCCTAGTTTACCTTTCTTAAACTATAGATGCCTCCCCATGCTCAGATATTTCCCTAAGCTTGGGATTTCCTCACATACGCATCTTAGATGGCATTTGGCCTGGTCTAACTAGGAACCATTGTCTCATTTTTGGGTTTCTCCCAGACACAAGCTAAGGTTTTCCATAGTCCATGTGGTGAAAAGACCGTGGCTGCTGTAACAAAACACCAAGCCTGCCTGGGTGGCTGAAACAACAGACATTTCTTAATTTTGAAGGCTCTTTAACCGAAGGTGGCTGACTTTTCACTGTGTCTTCACATGGTGAGGGGAGAGAGTAAGTAACTCTCTGGTCATTAAGACTTTCATCTTACCGGACTAGGGCTGTATGCATATGATCTCATTTAACCATAATTACTTCCTTAGAGGCCCCACCTCCAAATTCAGTCATACTGCAGGTTAGAGATTCAACTTTAGAATTTGGGTGGGACACAATTCAATTCATTGCATAGAAGGATGGGTCATGTCCTTTAAGAATTAAAAAATGAGGTTCTCTTTAAGTACCAGTATTGAGTGAATTTGGATTTTCTGTATCTGACTAGTTCTCAAATTGAGTTTTTGTCTTAGCCCTGTTGTTTATTTTCTTCTTCCCATTCCCAGAGGCTGCCTGACCCAGGAGAAGATTGTGGCGGGCTATGCCAGTCACTTCATCGTGATTGCTGACTTTAGGTATAGTGTTCTGAACTGTCCACGAAGGAGGTAGTCAGACTTGGGCCTCATCTGCATTTTACAGAGGATAAACTAGAGACCTGGAGGGACTGTGGGACTTTGAGACTCCTGCCTGGGACTTAGGCATGTCGAAGAGTGTTATGATCTGCTTTCATGCCGAAGGGAGACATTGCTCTTTAAGTGTCCTTTGGAAGGAGGAGTAGCTTGTCTCCCTCGTCAACAGAGCATATCATATGTCACTCGTTTGATCCTCCTAGGGAGCCTCAGAGGAAGCTAGGCAAGCACTGCCCACGGGCAGTGACTCAGCACACTGTTTCCTCCAGGGTCACGTGTGACTTCTGTTGTGGATAGTCTGACCTGTCTCTCAGGTTCTCCTTTGAGGAGTCTGTGAGAGGACTTACACGGAGGCTGTTATTTTTTTTCTTCTTCTAAGTACTTACTTGTGAAGTATAGTTGTGGGAAGAACCTAAATAATAAACACCTGTATACCACACAAAGCTAGTCATAATTAAATTTCCACATTTTTGTTACTGTTATTTCAGATGCATTTAAAACCTCTGTTTGCCTCCTGTGCCATTTCATCATATAAATGAACACCATTCTTTAATTTGGTGTTATCTGTACCATTGAGCTTATTTATATTTATTGTAGTTTTTTACTCTATTTCCAGGAAAGATTCAAAGAACCTTGGGGATCAGTGGCACAAGGGAATCCCCATTGAGGTCATCCCCATGGCTTATGTCCCAGTGAGCCGAGCTGTGACTCAGAAGTTCGGAGGTGTGGTTGAACTTCGAATGGCCGTGAACAAGGCAGTAAGTGGTGGTGAGGTTTCTTGAGGACAGTCCAGGTTCTCAGAATCGTGTCTGCATCAGTGATGGGAAAGTCCTTGTGTTCCCAGGCTCTCAGTGTATTCCTGTTTCGTTAGGTCCTCTGGGCCTGACCAGGCAGCAAGCCTTTATTTACTTTAAGTTGATGTCTTTATTTGTAGAGTGCTTCTTTATTAGTTCCTATATTCAGACTTTTGTAGATAAGACTTAATGCAGTGTTATCTTCTGTACAAGTGGGGAAATGATTCTTTCTGTTTCTTGTTGGGGCTGATGTTCCTCAGGTGATTTGACCTTTGTACCTGAATCCTGGACCACCCTGATTAACATCTGCCAAACTGGGCTTTGGGGAAGCCCCTGGAGCATAAAGTTTTTCAGGGTTCTGCATGCTCCCCACTGGGGACTGAGCCTGCAACCTGGGCATGTGCCCTGACTGAAATCGAACCATGACCTCCTGGTTCATAGGTTGATGCTCAACCACTGAGCCATGCTATCTGGGCCATTTTTATTTTGATGTGTTTTCTTTCTGGTTTTTGTGACTTAAAAATCATTGTCCTAATCAAAGTGGTTGCATAGAGAGCTGATCTGGCTCCCTTTCTAGCTGAAAGGCCAGGAAGAGATTCTTAGAGGTTCTCCTTCATAGCTGGGGTTATTCCAGACAAGATCCTCAGCATCTTGCCTTTATGGACATCTTAACTAAGCACCCACCCCTTCTCCTCCAGTCTGCAGGGGAGTCCTAGTTTCTTTGTCTTTGTAGTGATCTATCAGCATTTGTGGTCCTAAACATTTTCTTGTGCCTAAACCTATTGAAGAATTCTGGACTAACTGAAACTACCCCCTATCTATTTGACCTTAGAACCTATCTCTGCTTCTTTTTGTTGGGGCTCCCTAATTGAATTGTGAAATAACATTGTCTCATTTTATATTATTGCTGGCACTTAATGGGAAGCTCTGAGAATATCATGCCAAGTTGGAAACTAAGAAATATTGAACTCTCACTGAGCATTCACTGTGGCAAATGCTTACCCATGTGGTTTATACCTAAGCAGCCTTGTGAAGTATGGCATGCTCCCTTTCTACAGTTGAGGAATCTGAGGCTCACAGGAGTCAGTGGCTCCTCTGAGGTCTACACTCAAGTCCTGACCTCAAAGCTTTTGCTCGGTACTGCTTCACAGCACTTCCTTCTAGAAAGCATGAGGTGGAAGTACTTCTTGGAGTGGGTTAGTTAGGATAAGTGTCTTTGGTTATTGCTTCCACTTTTCTGTGCCTCTCTATCTACCTGTATCTTCATCCTTGGAAAATTACTTTCTAGGGTCCCGTGGTGACAGATAATGGGAATTTTATCCTGGACTGGAAGTTTGACCAGGTGCACAAATGGAGTGAAGTGAACACAGCTATCAAAATGACCCCAGGTAATATGGGTGGTGGTCACCCCCCCACATAGAGCCTTTCCTCCCAAGACCTTTGCTTAAGCAGTAGGGGAAAAGGACTCCATTCACCCACATTCATTAATTCAGACCACAGGCAAGATATTGTGCCACATGTTATAGGAATGCTCCCATTTACAGCATATGGAATAAACCAGAGGAAAACTTTGTGGTTGGATAGAGTCATACCTGTAAATAAGGTGGCATGTGCTAAATTCTGCTCGAGGAAAACCAAGAGTCTATAGTGTACAAGATTGTGTCTTTTGGGGAGTGTGGGGAGGTTCTATGAATAGAAGTAGTTTTTGAGCTGTGCCTCAGCATAGTGTAATCTGGACCCTGAAATGAGTGTTTACAGTTATCTCTTTCGACTCCCACTTAGATTGCATAGTTATAGAATGAACACAGATTGAGGAAGGTTAAAGGATGTGCCCAAAAGTACCAAAATGGGAGTACCAAAATGGGAGTACCAAAATGGGAATCCCTCTAGGCCTGAACTTTTAGTCCTTATTTCTTTGAGAGCCAGGTCACAAGGGGGCTGTTGACATGAACATTTGGAGCAGTGAAGAACCATGGACCTGGGGCCCTGGGTAAGACTGGATGGGCAGTGTAGAGGTGAGTTATGAGTGTGTATTGGAGGAGCTATTAAGGGGATCAAAAGAAGGAGGGAGAGCTGGGAAATATTAGTCTTACATATTGAGAGACTAAGATCCTAGCTGCCAATATTCCGTAACATGGAATATTCTAGGCCCAGAACTAGCTAATGTGGCAATTTAGCAGATGATAATGGCTGATAGATCTTGAATCAGACTACTAGAGCACAAGCCCTGACCCAGCCTTGCTCCATCCAGTATGGCCCTGGTGCTGTTAGTTACTGTCCCTTCCTCTGTAAAAGGCTCATTCTAATACCTACCTCATAGGATTGTTGGGAGGATAGAGTAAAACACAAGTTGATGTTTAATGAATGAAAGAAAAGATATTCACCATTAATTAATACTAAATTCTAAGGGATCCATGGTATTTGGGATTGAAAATGGTGTGAGTATATGCCATGTAATAAAGAGCTAATTCTTCCACCCTTACTTTAGTTCACTATTTTAGGCTTCCATTGAGTATTTTTTTTCTTTTACCAGATTTTATATATATATATATATATATATATATATATATATATATATATATATATATATGTGTGTGTGTGTGTGTGTGTGTGTGTGTGTGTGTGTGTGTGTTTCCCTGAAAATAAGACCTACTTACAGGTTTCCTTCTGAGTGAAATGTAAGGCATCCCCTGAAAATAAGGCTCCCCCTAGGCTAAACATGAGAGATTTGTTCCACTGATTCTGAAAGAAATGGAGTCACAAGAAATTCACCAGGAAGTTCAGGAATTGGATTGTTATGATGATGTTCCAGAAGATGATGACATGATTGTCATTGAATAAATGAGTAAATTCTTGATACTGTAGGATTCACAGTTTGTCTGGTTTGTGTTGACAACTACCATACTACCGTACCGTATACAGGTAATAAATTTCCTTTATTTCCATTTAACAATAAATGTGTACCGTATTCTTCTTCAAGGAAAAATAAGACATCCCCTGAAAATAAGACCTAGCGCATCTTTGGGAGCAAAAATTAATATAAGACACTCTTATTTTCGGGGAAACAGGATATATATATAAATATATATGGCCGAAGGCTTGACTGAACACCGGAAGTCAGTCCTGCAGTCAGGGGGTTGCATATTAGGCCTGGAGAGAGAAGCAGAGTCTGATCCATAGCCTCCGTGGCAGCCGTTGATCAGCTCTTGCCTTTCTCTTTCTCTCCGGGCCTGTCTAGCAGCGCATGTTTATTTCTCTCTGGGTCTCCGCTGGGACTGCTGATCAGCCCCACCTCTCTGATCAGACCCAGTGATAGGCCTGCAGATGATGACTGGCATAGAAACTGACCAATCAGAACCACATCTGGGTGAGCTGTGAAGAGCCAATGGTTGCTTAGGAGGTGAGGTGGAGCTTTTGACGCTGACTGACATAGAAACCAGCCAATCAGAACTAATCTGGGTGAACTGCAAAGGCAGAACCTAAGATGGGGGCTGTGGAGGAATTGTGAGGAGCCAATGGCTGCCTAGGAGGCTGAGCTTTTGACACTGACTGACATATTATAGAAACTGACCAATCAACCAAATCTGGGTGAACTGTGAGGAGCCAATAGTTGTCTAGGAGGTGGAGCTTTTGATGCTGACTGGAATAGAAACCAACAATCCAGAACCTAATCTGTGTGAACTGTGAAGGCAGAACCTAATGTGGGGTCTGAGGAGAGGTTTTAAGGCAGTTGGGGAGAGATCGGGTCAGCAGGGAAGGGCAATTTGGGGAGAGATCAGACTGGCAGGGGAGAGCCATTGGGGGTGAAATCAGGTCAGCAGAGGAGGGCAGTGTGGGTGGGGGGTGTGTGTGAAATCAGGTCAGCAGGGGAGGGCAGTTGGGAGCGAGATCAGGTCAGTAGGGGAAGTCAGTTGGGGGCGATCAGGGAGGCAGGTGAGCACATAGGAGCCAGTGGTCCCAGATTGCCAGAGGGATGTTCCAATCCTTTAGTGGGATTGGGCCCGAACCAGCAGTTAGACATCCTCCAAGGGGTTCCTGATTGGAGAGTGTGCAGGCTGGTCTAAGGAACTCCACAACTCCTGTGCACGAATTTTGTGCACCAGGCCACTAGTTTTTAAATAAAAAAATATATTGAATTATGCTTATTCTCTCACTGTTATGTTTTTAGTGGAAGAACTAAAGAGCCAAGAAGCAGGAGGAAGATAAGATATAGAGGTCACTGTTAGTACAGTAAGAGGATTTGTATATGATAGTACAGCAATGATAGTACAGCAATCCAGGGGGCAGGTAGGATACAGCTCGCCACTATCAGCCCTGCTCCTCTGCGGAAAGGTCTCTCATTCCCACTGTGTGTCTGCTGCTCCTGCTCAGACCTTTGTTGGCTTATTGAGGCATTGAGATGTTCTTTGTGAGAAAATTTCTTTTGTACTTTGCTCTTCACCTCAAGTACAAGTCACAACCTAGAGATGGTTAAAATTTTAAGAACTTAAAGTGAAGAAAATGGGAAAAAAAAAAGAGGCTAGATATGAAATTATTAGTACATTGCGACCAGGATCATCTGTGTGATTTTATTTTTTCCTCTTCCCAATTTGGCCCATTGTAATACTTGCTGCTGGACCAAGATCAAGGTAGGAGAAGCAGGGCAAGTTTCCCTTTCTGTCCCTGTCACCTATCTTGTCCCATGTGATATCATAAGGTCACTTAAAGGATAGCTGAACCATGTATCCCCTTGGATATTTCATTGGGTTATACCTAGAGAAGATAGGCTCTCTAGAAGGGTCAGAGCTACTGGGGTTCTTTCCCCATGTCCATTCTGAGCCACCTCTGCCTTTCATACATGAGGAGACCTTAAACTATTGCCATTCATCTCTGCTCTCTTTTTTTGAAATATTTTCTGAACCTGGTTTGACTTTCTTTTTGGTCACCTTGTATTACAGAATTTGAAAAGGATGGGTCTTGAGTGGCCACTTGCCTTATCTTTGTGAGGCTCCAGTCATGTTCACATAGTTCAGTGCCAGGGAACTTTGTGTTTCAGCAGATTTATTCTCTAACTGGTGGCTTTATATTTGAAAATAACTGGTTTTATTGGGGGTGTCTTTATTGTTTAAAATTTTTTTGGTTAATTCTCATCTGAGGATATTTTTCCATTTATTTTTATTTTTTTTAAAAAAAACATTTTATTGATTTTTTACAGAGAGGAGGAGAGAGGGATAGAGAGCTAGAAACATCGATCAGTTGCCTCTTGCACACTCCCTACTGGGGATGTGCCCGCAACCAATGTACATGCCCTTGACCGGAATCGAACCTGGGACCTTTCAATCCGCAGACCAACGCTCTACCACTGAGCCAAACCAGTTTCAGCTCCATTGATTTTTAGAGAGAGTGGAAGGGAGTGGGAGACACACACACAGAGAAACATTGATGTGAACACATCGATTGGTTGCCTTCCACAGGCACCCTGAACAGGGCCAGGGATTGAACCTGCAAACGAGGTACGTGCCCTGGAATTGAACCTGGGACCCTTTATTCCTCAGGCTGAGTCTCTACCCACTGAGTCAAACAGGCTAGGGCTTGGGGTGTCTTTAGAAGTTTAATATTATTTACTCCTTTGAATTTACATAGTTTAATATTACAAGAGTAAACAGCGAAGAATCTCTTCCTTCTACCTCTCCAACTTTCATTCTCTGCAGGCAGCCAGTGTTACCAAAATTGTGTCCTTGAGTCATTCTTCAGTGAACAAATCAGTTTGATGAAGCAGAGGATTAAATCCCTGGCCTCAGCCCTTTTACACAAGTAGAAGCATGCTAGATACAGGTTTTGCTTCCTAGTTTTTCCTGTCTTAGAGATTAATACAGTACAGTCAATTGAGCTTCCTTATTCTTTTTAAAATAACTGCATGACTAGCCTCACCCTCCCACGCTCACACCTGCTGGCTGCAGCCAGCCTGGGCTCTCGCTGCAGTCTTCCATGAGGGACTCTCGAGGAGGACCCGCAGACTCAGAAGGTGTTGAAGACACAGGGAGAGACTGAGCTGTGTGGCTTTCAGGTGAAGACCATTATTCCCTGCACACACTGACTGGTCACTGTTCCTGTGCAGAACCCTCCCTTTGCATGAAAAAATCTTACTCTGTTTCAGCCTGATGAACTATGCTGATCTCACCCTGATGACTCCTTGAGACCATGCCCTACAACTAAGGTTTATGGGCATCTGACAGGTAGGCAGCTGTACTTGGATACCCTGACAGTTTTGCTGAGTTCCCTCAATTTCAGCACTGGCACTGATAGTGAATTCTGTATAGATCTGGAGAATACCTATGGTTCCTACCTGATGACTCACTGAGAACCTGCCTCATGTAACTCATGCAGTGCATGCTCTTTTAGTGGCTGAGTTTAACGGGCAGCCAGCAGGTGGGGCAAGTCAGCTAAAGACACAGCACCCAGGCTCAGGTAGTCTGCCTCAGGCCCAGCGTGGCTCTTCCCACATGCACTGAGGCCCAGCAGAGGCAGCCACTAACTATGTATTGCTTTAGAGCTCTAAACAGGCAGGCAGAGGTAGCACCTGACATTGACCTGTATTGGTGTTACTCCCAAGAGGCCTCAGAACCAATACATCCATTGGCAGGCTTCATACATCTATACACAAGGAATTAGCTCCTCAAGTGGCACACCCAAAGGGAGATCTTTGCAGATACCAGCTCCTGCTGAGGCAAATTCTGCCTTGTGGGTAAGCCCCCACATAGTACCTCATATACTACGGTCAGGTTCAACCCTCACAGTTAGCCAGCCCAAGGGTCATCTTTGCACACGGATGGGCCAACAGTAATCAAGATTCAACTATATGAGGAGGGTTCATATAACCCACACAAGGGACATTCCTAGAGCACCTAACTCATATGATCAAGGAGATTGTGCTATTGAGTCCCACACCTACTACATAAGGCCATGCTTCCAAGACTGGGAGAGAGCAGTTCAGCCTAATACACAGAAACGAATACAGCAAGGCAGCCAAAACGTGGAGACAAAGAAATATTCCCCAAATGAAAGAACAGGAGAAATATTCAGAAAATAACTAAATGAAATGGAGGCAAGCAATCTACCAGATAGAGAGTTCAAAACAATGGTTATAAGGATGGTCCAGGAATTTAGGGGAAGAATGGATGAACTCAGTAAGAACTTAAAGAGATAGTAAGCATAAAAAATGGAAATTACAAAGAATCAGTGGAAATCACAGAGAATCAGTCTGAAATGAAGAATACAATAACATGAATACACAAGTAGGAATCAGCAGCAGATTAGATGAAGCAGAGGATTAATTCAGTGATTTGGAAGACAAGGTAGCAGAAAACAAAAAGTAAATTAGAGGATAATTTAAGGGACTACTGGGACAACATGAAGCATAACAACATCCGTGTCATATGAGTACTAGAAGAAAAGAGAATAATGACTTGTGTATCTATTTGAAGAAATAATGACTGAAAACTCTAATTTGGTATAGGACATAGATACATAGCACAAAGAGTCCCAAACAAAATGACTCCCATGATGTAAAGATTAAAGACAAAGAGAAACTTTTTTGAAAATACATTTTATTAATTTTTCACAAATAGGAAGGGAAAGAGAGAGAGAGCTAGAAATGTCGATGAGACAGAAACATCGACCAGCTGCCAATTGCACACCCCCTACTGGGGATGTGTCCGCAACCAACGTACATGCCCCTGACCGGAATCGAACCTGGGACCTCCCAGTTCGCAGACTGACACTCTACCACTGAGCCAAACCAGTTTTGGCAAAGACAAAGAGAAACTCTTAAAAACAGCAAGAGAAAAGCAGTTAGTTACCTATAAGGGAGCTCCCATCAAACTGTCAGCTGAGTTTTCATCAGAAACTTTTCAGGCCAGAAGGGGTTAGCAAGAAATATTCAAAGTGATAAAAAGCAAGTACATTCAGCCAAGACAAGTCTATCCAGCAAGGCTATCATCTAAAATCAAAGGAGAAATAAAGAGATTTTTTTATTAGTGGAGTTTATCACCACTAAACCAGTGTTATAAAATAATGCATAACATTTCCTTTTATAGCTATTCTATATTTTATTTACCCAGCTCTCCATTAGGGGATATTTGTTTCCAGTCCTTTGCTAGAAGGGAGTCACTAGATCAAAGGATATGTGTATCTTGTGTTCTAGATGGTGTTGAATTGCCCTGCATGGATTGTACCAATTTACCTAACAGCAACTTATGTAGGTGCCAGTTTCCCCATTAAACTTTTTTCTGATACTTGAACACTATTATTTCATTGTAGCATATGTGCATATAGTTGACAAAGTGAATAACACAAGATTCAAACTGTGAGTCCACTTATATGCAGAGTTTTCAGTTAACGTTTGTGGTTGAAATCCATGCTGCCCAAGGGTTAGTCCAGCTTATGTGGATGGCCAATTTAGGTACTGCTTAAGTAGGTATACTTAAGTTTTCTACTCTAAAGGAGGTTGGGGTTAACTGAATGATGTAAATATTTTCAGTACAGGATGCTCCCACTTGTAGTTAGTTCTTATTGCTGAAGAGTATTCCATCATATTTATGTGTGTGAAAGAAAGTTTGCATATTCATTCTCTCTCTTTTTTAATTTATTGAAGTTTTATAGAGAGGAAGGGAGAGGGATAGAGAATTAGAAACATTGATGAGAGAGAAACATCAATCAGCTGCCTCCTGCACACCCCCACTGGCGATGTGCCCACAACCAAGGTACATGCCCTTGACCGAAATCAAACCTGGGACCTTTCAGTCCACAGGCTGATGCTCTATCCACCAAGCCAATCCAGCTAGGGCATTCATTCTGTTCTTGATGAGCAGAGGATTTGCGTGTTTCCAATTTTTAGCTACTAGGGAAAGTACTGCTGTGAACATTCTTGTACATGTTTCTTGATGACCATATGTATTCCTGTCAGCTGCTTATATAACTAGAGTAGAATTGCTAGATCATTAGATATGGATATCTTTGGCTTTAGAGAATATATCAACAAACATTTTCCAAAGTGGTTTGCCAATTACACCCTCTGTCCATGTGTAGAAATGTTTTTTTCATCCTCATCAAATTTCATTCTACTCTTCCTGGGAAGCAGTTGGTGGGGGTCTCAGAGTTATAATTTGCATTTCTTTTTGTCTTGTCTGACCCCCATTTTTCATGTTTATTTGCCATTTTGGATAACGTCTTTTGTGGAGAACCTCTAAGTTTTTTGCCCATTTTTCTGCTAGGTTGTCTGTCTGCTGACTGAGTTAGAGAGTTGCTTATAGATTTTGATGGGGGTCTTTGGTTGGGTATTCACACTGCAAATATCCCCTTGGGCTCTGGGGAAACCTGTAAGGCTGACAGTGTGATTTAGAGTACCTGGGAATGGTTATGTAGAGTAGTCATGGGAGACCTTTCAACTGGAAAATGACTTGTCATATGGCATCTGGAGAGCAGAGAAGAGGCAGTTTTAAAACTCTCAAAGAGACTAGAGCAGACAAAGGGAGCAGCATGAGCAAAGGCTCTGAGCAGGAGAGAGCTTGCTATATATGGGCGTAGAAAGGGAGTCAAGAAAGTAGGGAAGAAAGGAATTGTAAGAGGAAATAATGAGAATCAGAATCTCTTCATTTGTCCAGTGTTGCTGATGGTCACTGCTCCTACTGAACCTGAAATCCTTGATTCTTTTCTTGCCTTGGGAGGCTGAAACTTAATGTTCCCTTCTGTTCTTTGTCATGCAGGTGTGGTGGACACAGGTCTATTCATCAACATGGCTGAGAGGGTCTACTTCGGGATGCAGGACGGCTCAGTGAACATGCGGGAGAAGCCTTTCTGCTGATGCTACAGGTGTGCAGTGTGCTCACCTGGAATCCCTGCCCATAGCAGGTGGACACACCTCTTCCGACCTTTGCCTTAATGTATCTGTGCCAAGGTCCTGCTGGCATGCTGGGGTGGGGTGGGGAGTGAAATCCAGCCTTCTTGTATTGTTACTAAATGTCTTTTCTAAAAAGAGAAATATAAACATATATTTTTACTATTAAAATGCTGTGTTTTTAAAATACAACTTGATTTCATTTTTATATAAAGCACTTACCGAAATAAAAAAGAGGGAGACTGTCTTTTAAACTTTTAATGTAAGCCTGCTGTTTAAGCTTCTGATTATTGAGTTTGGTGAATTATGTAAAACAGAATTTTTCTTTAAACTGATAAAGGAAGGGCCTAGCAGCGGTGTTTCCCTGACACCTTACCAGAAGCATGGGAGCTCGTTTTTCTTCCTCGCTCCTTCCTGGGCTTCAATTTTGTTGTGATTATGCCCAGTACCATGTACTTTTCAAGACGGGGTTTACAGAAGTAGGGTGTGGCATGCAGTGATATTGTAAACTCCCAGGGAGAAACGGGTGGTTCTGGGAAGGCCAGGGCTTCACTCGGAACCCTGCTGTTGGAAGCAGGTGGCCAGAAGCACTTGAAATGAGACGCTTTTAAATGCTTGTCTTTTTGTTAGTATTTTACCTGTTCCTTTATTTTACTTGCATGACCCAGCATCAGAAGTTCTTACCTCTTTATATTGTTTGAGGGTTGGAATAAAAAATATGGTGCCATTCTCAGCAGTATGTGGTCAGGTAGAATTTGCAGCAGTTTTGTGGTCAAGTAGAAATCCATTTTGCTCACCCAGTTTACACTGGATCTCTGATAAGGGGTGGCATTTACTCAAGAAGTCTTGAGCCAAAGAGTAGGTAAATATTTCCTTTTTTCTGAGAGAGCTTGGTGTCCATTTTATTTTGTTAGTTGAGTGTAACACAGCTAAACAAATCACAAATTCCCAAGGTTTACATTAGTGGAACTTTAGTCGTGGCAGCTGACAAGTAGTGACATGAGTGACCTGAATTTCACCTTTATTTCCTCAACTATAGTCTTATTGTGTGCCCAGTGAGCAGTGATATGTTCAGACAGCCTCATAGACAGGAGAGGCTGTGAGCACTCAGTGGTAAGTCTCATGGGACAGGGGGTCCCATCTGAGAACCCTGATCTGCCCTTGCTGACTTTGCACAATTCTTGGGACAGTTGGCTTACTTTCTGTTTTGAAGATTGGATTATAGGTACAAACTGGTTGACATATAAGTTTGTGCTAAATTAAATTGCAGAATAAAAGTTAATCAGGACTGTGTGTGGAAGAGGTTTTCTTTTCCTTGCCAAATTCCTTCTCTTTTTTGTTCACACTGAAGGTGCTCTTTAACAATAGTTGCCCTGGCTGGTTTGACTCAGTGGTTAGAGTGTTGGCCCACGGACAGAAGGATCACGAATTCCATTCTCAGTCAAGGGCATGTACCTTGGTTGCAGGTAACGAATTGAGTCTCTCTTACATTGGTGTTTCTCTCCTTCCTTCCTCTCTTCCACTCTCTCTAAAAATCAATGGAAAAATATCCTTGAGTGAGGATTTAAAAAAAAAAAAATAGTTGCCTCGCTCATTGCTGGCAAACCTGTTGTTAGGAATACTTTATTTTTCTTTGAGACTACTTCAGTCTGAATGAATGGGCACTAGATCTTACCTGAGAAAACTTGATAGAATTGATGTTTGAAATGATCTCTTAAAGCTCTTGTGACATGGATTAAATTCAGGAATAAAGACAAACAACAAAGCTGCACTGGGTGTCTGCGCGCTCACACACACATTCTTAGCTGGTGTAGACACTTGCACCTGTGACCACACTGCAGCTCCATTGAGGGTTAATGTGAAGTGTTTTTTCTGAAGAAAACAAAATACTTGCTAGGCTTTAGACACATACACAGCAGTTTGTTTATGAGCTAATTAAAAAAATATATATTTATTGATTTCAGAGTGGAAAGGAGAGGGAGAGAGAGAAACATCAATGATGAGAGAATCCTTTATAAGTTGTCTCCTGCACACCCACACTAGGGATTGAGCCCCCAACTGGGCATGTGCTGTGACCGAGAATCTAACTGTGACCTAGTCTATGTTCAACCACTGAGCCATGCTGACCAGGCTTGGGTAAATTTTGATTTAAGTTCCTTCAATAAAATTGTGATCTTGTAAGTGATGAGTTGGGTGGAAATAATTTGCAGGATGATGATCAATTCGACAGGCTCAGGGCAAGCTGTAAGTCAGTGTTTGGGAACGGTTATAGTAAACTAAATGGCCCCATTTCTGGGAAAGATCAAAGAGGAAAAAGCACTTGGACATAAAGCATTGAATTTTGGTTTCAGTTGTAGCTCATAAAGTTTTTATACTCTTCCTTCATCAGACATTTCCGGAGTTTTCATCATGTGCAGATACCAGTGCTCCCCGTGCACTTGACCTCCAGATGCTCCAGCCTGCTGGACAGGAAAGGCAGGTTCACCAGACGCCCCTGTGCAAAGGGAGCGCAGGGGCACCACTGTGGGCACAGTGCACAGGAGGTGGGCTGGAGACTGCTAGAGTCTTGCCTGTCCTCACTCCCTGAATGCTGGGTGCTGCTCAGGGCCTTCAGCCAGTTCTCACAGCCACGTTAGGCATTTGCTCTTAATTTGCGGAGTGAGAAACGGGCCATGTACTGGAAAGCAGGCCAGACTTCTCTTGCTCCTAATTCCAGGGGTTGCCAATGCATGAGTTGTGTCCATCACTTGTAACTTGAGTCACAAGTAATTTGTAAAAGTACTGAAGTTAGTGAAATGGTTTAATTGTGTCTGTGTGTGTATCTATGCTCCTGGGTAATCCAATAATCTGTTTTCTGATGGGTTTTCTTTAGTGGTTTGACAATCGGAAATACCCTTTGTCAAATTCATCCTTGTCTGCAACCATTGAATTTTCTCATTTCTCCTGTGCTCATTTCCTTTTTCCCTTTCTCAGGCCTGGAGAAATAGGCACCATGGCAACCCAGGAAGGGATGTTTATGGCCAAGGGTTGTTAGTTCCCTTTAGCCAGAGACCCTTCAGGAAGTGTAGTTCAGCACATGAGGGTTTTCTGACCATCAGGAGGGAAGCTCTGTGCCACAGGAGCTGCAGAGAGTCTCAGTCAGAGCAGGTTAGGATTTGGACTGCTTTGGGAGAAGGGAGCTTCCAGGGAGGCTTCAAGGAAGCAGGGCTCCGCTCTGGGTTGGATGTCAGGGAGCAGGAGAGTTCTGTGATTGGTAAGAAGGTGAGAGGAATGGAGTGAGGCTAATGCTGGGTTGGGTAAAGTGGCAGCAGCCACTCGAGGGGAGGTATGTCTGGTCCTTTGTGTGGTCTAGACGATGTTCATGGTTTGTCTGTGTTGAGACATGATTACAGTCGTCGGTTTTCCCCCTTCATTTCTGTCTTAGAATGGCCTTTTCTGATGCTGTCCTGTGAAATATTTGTTCCACAGGAGACCACATGAGCCTCCGTGTGGGCACCAGGTTATCCTGACCGGAGCCGGGCCAGGGTCTGGCTGTCATTCCCCTTTTCCAGGGTCAGAGGGCCCAAGCACCTTCCGATCAACGCACCTCCTTTGCATTGATTCATAGGTATTGAGCATCTGCTGTGTACTAGGCACTGGGAGGAAGGATCAGGTGCCTGTGATGTAGCGCCAGCCTTCAAAGACTTGACTGGTGCCATGACAACCATTTCTCCTACCTGGCTTTTTGCTCACTTCAGGTCACAGCCAGCAGTTGATGCAGCCAGATCAGATTTCATTAGCCTTCACTCTGCACTAACCTCATTATCAGGTGATGCTTTTACATAGGTTCAATGCTTGTGCTTTTTTAGTAACAGGGCTGTACTGCAGGTTAGCAGAACATGGCAGCATAGTCCAGCATTCAGACGCGCCCAAGCAGTTCTTGTGTCCAAGCCATACACTTGTCCAAGCCATCCTCGGCAAGTCCTCATAAGTGAGCTCTGGAATGTGCTTTGAGGAGGGAGTGTGCTGTGAGGGGGCAACTAGGTGGGGGTTGGGGGTGGAAGGGGCAGGTCTGCCCTGGAGAGGAACCCAGTGTTCTAAAGGCAGTGCATTCAGACTGATGAGTTTTGAAGCCTGTCTTCTGTGGTGGACCACTGAGAACACCCTGCTCAGCAGAGCGGCTTCATCTCCAAACGGAAACCCTGGCTGCGTCTCTTCCTGGTGACAGAACTGCATCGAAGGAGTGATCAGGTTGCAGGCTGTCCCAACCCAAGTTTCAAATAGTGTGGTGCTCATCCTTATTTTATGAGTGAAGCTGTTTTCCGTGGAGGGTGAGGCTGACGGTAGTCACCACGGAGCTCTGGGGTCCTGGAGCCCTGGTCTCTGATTCAAGCTGCACCTGGCTAGCATCTTGTGCCAGCAGTGCTGCCTGCTTCTTTGCAAACCTGGGAGAAGCATTCATGAGGGTGAGCCCACAGGAGCTGGCATCAGAGCAGCACAGCCATAGTCAGGAACAGCTCTGCCCAGTGCACCTGTGAGCCACAAATACAACCTTAAATGTGCTAGTAGCCACACCAAAGAGGTAAAAAGAAATAGGTGAGGTTAATTTCAATAAAATATTTTATGTAACCCAGCATATCTAAAGTACTCCTCATTTAATGTAATGTTTTACATTCTTTTTTGTACTTTGTCTTCAAAATACAATGAGTATTTTATTGCAGTGTGTCTCATTTTGAACTAGCTACTTCAAGTGCTCGGCAGGTACACTGGCATTGCAGAACAGTTCTAGAAGTTCAAGGGGTGCCGTTGTCATTCTAGCTTTTAAGGCTCTTGGTTTCCTGGAACAAGCCTGGTTCTGTAGAGCCCCAGAGTGTCAAGTCAAATGGAGGTGCCCCAAGGGGTCCCACTTCAAACTGAGACCATCATATGACCTTGACCTTCTAAGTGGCCTTAGGTCCAGAAAGAGAGCACCATTCTTTCACCTTCTG